GCCGGAGCGGAGCAGGGAGGGCTCCGGGAGGGCCACCCGCGTCTGCCCGCGCCGGCTCCGCTCCGCCGCCCTCGGAGACGGGTGCCCCAGGCCCCTCGTGCCTGGCGCTGCTTTCCCCGCGTGTCCCTGTTTGGCTCTCCACCGGGTGGACCTGGGCCGTGTTTCCCCGTGGCACAGCGTGATTTTCGGTTACAACCCGGCTGGGGTTCCCTGCCTGCAGCGGGCAGCTCTGAGGAGCTCGAACCGGTTCGGCTTGGTCGGTGCCGCCGCATCCGCCCTCTGCTCCGTTCACGTGGCCTCTAAAACACCTGGGGTTTCGAGTCCCTCGCTCGTGCCTGGCCACATCCTCGCCAGAAGGCGATTCGTGGTAATTTAAAAGCAGTAGCAGACGCCTGACAAGCCCCGCTCTCCTCTCGTTACTTCCATAAGCCTCTGCTTCCGTGGTAGTTTCCCTCATTAACGGGGCAGGCTGGTGCAGAGCAGCTCCTGCTCCCTGTACCCGTCCTTCCTCCTCTTCCCGCAAGTTATTCTTAATCCCACATTGTCCACAATTTGGGCCCCTGCAAAAAGAGCAGTGACATCTTGCCTTGGTCTGGCATTAAAGCTGCTGCCGTGAGGAAATGTGGATTTCCTAACGCTGATGGCACCGAGTCGCACACTCGGTTTCAGTCGTATTAAATTGTATAGTTGCCAATAGCAGGATGCTTCTTTTTTATTTTTTTAATTATTTTTATTTTTTCCTTTTCTAGTGGCTTCAGCAGAGCAGGAAGCAGAGCAGCTGCTGCCCCTCCAACATGTTCAGGAGACAACACTGGAAGGAGCTGAGCAGGGAAGGATGGTGAAAGCTAATGAGTAAAAAAGCAGGGTTTGTCCCATGCCTGAGCTGTGCTTGGAGGAAAGAGGTGCCTCGTGCAGGGGAGTGGGGAAAGGCAGCAGGAAAGATCAGTTTTTAGGGAGAAATGGAGTTCCCAGATCCACCTGTTTCTTCATCCTACATCTTTGAGCGAGGACTAAGAGGAGAGACAGGGATCTACTGGAGAATGCCCATTTAAACCCACCGCAATCCACTTTTTCTCCCTCTGAGCAGCCGCGTTTGTAACGCGATGCCTGGGAGCCTTCCCATGTCCTTCCCATGTCGCCTGCAGCCGGTGCAGCCCCCCTCCACGGTACCACCGCCGTTATCTCCCCTTGCCGCAGGACTTGCTGCGGCGTGGATTTCGGCTAATGCATTAGGTGGTTGGTATCTGGTTTTGTCTCTTGTGGCTTTTTTTTTCTCCTTTTTTCCTGCTTGCATACCGAACAAGCCTGGGACAGGGGACAGCGGGAGCAAAGATGTTCTGCCAGCTCTGGAAAGGTCTGCAGAGAAACTGATAGCTCTGGTGTTTACCCTGGTCCGAGGGCACGTGTGCGCCTCCGTCACCGCTGGCTCTCGAGAGGGCTCGTACCAGCGCTGCTTGGTCATGGTCCGTCCTTGGGGGCAGCGCAGAATCTCTGCTTGGAGGTGCCTGTGCTCCCTGCACGGAGAGGGCTGCTGCGAGGGAGCAGCTCGCTCCCCATCGCGAGCGCGCGACCCACGGCTCCCTGCCCGGGCCTCCATTGCTTTTGGATACCTTGGACAGCTTTCAGATGGAAAAACACTCGGAGATGGGAGTTCCCTTCTCCGTCCCTCCTCCCTTAGAGGAATGGCCCTGAAGCAGCAGCAGCCCAAGACTCGTTTTCCTCCGGGGGCCTCGGTTCTCCCCATCCCCTGCCCGCTCGGTCAGCAGGATCGCAGCTGGGCAAACAGCCACCTTTCAGGATTTATTTATTTATTTTTAACCAAGGGGAGGGAAAAAAAAAAAAAAAAAGCTGTTTCCTTCCTCCTGCCTCTGTTCGGGAACTTCCGTCCTGCCCTGGCTGCAGCCCCTCCGGCAGCAGCCTCTGCCTGCGCTGGTCACAGTCCACGCACAGCCCTGAGGCAAAAGGCAAGAGGCTGTTTCCTACCTTTTGGTTTTTCCACCCTTCTTTCCTTCCCGGGTGCCAGGACGGTGTTTTCCCACCTCGGGCGCTGCCGGCCAGCCCGGCTGCGCTCTCGCGGTGCCCAGGAGCGCGGCCACCGTCTGCCTTTGCAGCTGCCCTGGACGAGAGCCTGCGTGTCTCCCACTTCATCCGGGGTTTCAAACATTGCTCGGGGCACAGGCACCTGCTAGCACCCCCTTTTGCAGGGTGAAGCAGTGACAGCAAGCCAGGAATTGAAGTCCCTGACAGCAAAAGGGAGCAGGGAGGCAAGGGGAAGCGGGCAGATGGGGCTGGAGTTTGCAGGAGCTTCTCTGGCTGAGGTGCTTTGAGAGGAGGAAGAGATGATGAGAGATAAGGGCTCTGTCGTGCTGCGTAGTGGGAGAAACGAGTCGTATCGTTGTGCAGAGAGCACAGGGGAAGAGAAGATGGGGGAAGCGACCAGGGCAGTGGGGCCTGGGGAAGCTTGGAAAGCCGCTGGGAGATGCCTGAAGTGAAGAAGGGAAAAAGGAAGCTGCAAAGGAGGCAGCGCCCCTAGTTACAGGAGCGTCGCCAGAGAGGAAAGTTCAGAAGGATAAAAAACACCGCGGGGAGAGGCAGGGTGGAATGTGGTGCTCAGAGAGAGACCTCAGAGATGTCACTGGGCTGCCAGTGCATGAGAAGGCCACGGCGCCGAGCAGCGGGCGTTGCAGAAAGGCTGATGCAGAGATAAGTAGTGCTCCTTGTTATCTCTGCGTTTCCAACGTGCCCACGCTAAGCCTTGCACTGACGTCGTCCCCGTCAGGAACTGGCGATCGCTGTGTTCAGCCCCTGTCCCTGACTTTGTTTTGCAGGTCAGATTGGGAAAAATGGCTGATATCGAGGAGGACCCCGCTGTGTTCACCTCCACTTCTCTGCCTTCAGACCCGCGGCTTCTAGCTACGGTGACCAACGCTTACCTGGGCACCCGTGTGTATCGGGACGTCCTGCACGTCAACGGGGTGTATAACGGGGCTGGGGGAGACACGCACCGCGCCGACATCCCCAGCCCTGTCAACGTTAGGATGACCAAGCCCAGTGCAGACAAGCTGACCGAGACCTTCACCTTGAACACGCGCACAGGTAAACAGCAGGGGCAGGAATCTGCCTGCGTGCAACTTCCTTTTTCTGTTGTATCCTGTTCACCCCTCTTTTCCTGCAACTGTCAGCAACCCCCTTTTAGAAGTTAACATTTTCCTTGCTTGTGTTGCCTCTTCCATGAGGTCTCTGGGGTTGCCTTGGTCCTCCCCAGCCTCTGTTCATCCACGTGCTGATTGGAGGCATCGCCATCCGAGATATGGGATTTCTGTGGCCTAGCTTCAGGTATTGGAGTCTGCGTGCACACTCTGGTCTTGCAGTCAAAGGAGATGCAGTCAATAAATTCAAATGAATGCAGAAAGTTATTTGCCTTGTCTTAAAGGAGATACCAATGTCAGATCGCCTGATGGCTCTCATTGTCCCTACCAGGAACCTTCAGCCACGTGCTTCAGTCAGCAGATTATACGGCCACCCATCAGATCTATGCTCACCACTCCCTTGTCCATCTGATGGCCTTCAGCATCACCATCCAGCGAGCGGCGCACACCGGGCAGCCCATCGTGGTGCAGCTCCAGGTGCCTTTGGTGCTGAAGAGCCAGGATCTAGACCTATACGAAGGACCAGACTTCCAGGGAGCACAGTGAGTCTGGATCGTGACGGGGACCTTGCCTGCCCCATGTCCTTCATAGCCTGTAGATTTCTGCTCTCAGACAGAAAATGAGCTGCAAAAGCAAGGGTGGGACTAGCTGGATAAGCATGGGGTCAAAGGAGCTCCCATCCCACACGGGAACAGGAGCCAGGTATTCAGCTGCTATGGGGCCATTCCCCTGTCTATGAGCAGGTTTGAGCTAGCTGATGTGCACCGAATGCCCCCTGCCCCACTGTCCCTTCCCCCTTGCTTGCTGTCTCTTGTAGCTACGTCTACGGGAAGACGCTGGTCCCCGAGGTGGAGGGGGGCCCTCAGCCCACGGTGCACATGCTGTGGACCCCGGTGCCGCCCGCCGTGACGCTGCGCGCCGAGGAGCGGGAGGGGAGCTGGGACTT